GCCAGGCAGACTTTGCCTACATCTTCAGCTCTCCTCATGCCATCCTCTGCAGGACGTTGAGGAGAGAGATGCCTATCCAGCCAATAATAAATATGAAGCAAGTGGACTTAGGTGTAAGTTAGGTTGTTGATGTGTGTTATCTGTCATGTACAGAATAGCATAAACTCATATTAAAACAGTTTGTGAGCTTCTCACCATGTCCATTAGCTATTTAATGAAATCCTCCTTTCATTCCTTTGCACTACAGCCATCTCACCTTGCTTTTCCAGGTCAGTGAATGAGATGCTGTGGGTGCTGGATGGGGAATGGTTGGCTGATGTTTGGGCTGTGCATATCTCAGAGATGAGGTTCATATATTTCCTGTGGCAGCACTCAGCCCTCTGTCCTGGCAGGTCCAACAAATCTTAAGCCATCTGAATCCAATCCAAGCAGTCACAAGAGCTATTTGTTTCTTCTGCTTTCACCAGAGAGCCGTGCTTGCGGGAGCTGTGGTTTAGTTGACAGTGCTCTGTCACCTCTTGTATTTTTTGGCTGGCACATTGAATCATTGCTTTTGTAACTGTAGCTAGGTCCAGGATTAGTAGTAGTTGTGTGCCTCATCTACGTAACATCAGAGCTCATGAGCGCCCGAGAGCTGAGCTCGGCTGACGTTTGGGTGAGAGGCCGAGGAAACCTGAGACTCCCCAGAAAGTCATTTAGTGAGTCAGTCAGCAGCACCTGCCTTCCAAGTCAGCCCTAAATCCCTGACCTGGCAAGGCTTGGCCGGGCTGGAGAAATCACTGTGCTAATGAAGATCCTGCTTTTGGGCAGGGTGGAAAAAAGAAGTTCTCACTATGTGTGGAAGATGAGAGTGAATGAATGGTCAGAGATCACCCCAGAGGCCATGGTGTACATAGACTCAGCAGAAAGCAGTTGCGTTGTCCCTGTGTTAAAGTAAGGGAAGCCGAGCACCGAGTCTCTAAGGGTTCAAACCTCCAAGCCTCTGGGTGGGTGCCATACGTCTCCCCTGAACCCTTCAGTGCTGCCCGTCCATGCAGCACTCTGACCATGCAGCACAGGCTGCTCTCTCCACAGGGAGAGGAAGCTCCATCCAGGCCACCTGGAGCCATTTTGGGTTGTGATAAACACATTCTAGGCCAGACAGAGAAGGCTTTATAGATTTCCACAGTCTGAGAGACTTGGGTTTAAGCTCAGGCTGCTCCCCTTGTCCTTGGGGGACCACAGCCATTGCAGAGGGAATGACAGTGGAGACTGTGGATCACTGCAAGCCTTTGGTGTCCTTGATGTTGGCTACCTCCAGGACTGATAGTATCAGAGCCTGGCGTAAGGTCTAGCCTTGGGGCCAAGGGAGAGCCCCACTTTGCCATCCCTGTTCAGGTTGCCGAGCTCTGAGCACCTCTGGGACGTCAGGAGTTTGCCCAACTGCCTAGAGGCACCTGGGGGATTTAGGTGCTTGCAGGGTCAGGCAGCACTTGAGCAATGTTTGTTGAAGGTTTAGGCGATGCATCTCAAATACCCGTGTCTCCTGTTTTTTTCACTGCACCAGGAGTTGAGCCCAAGCCTCTGGAGTCCTGCTAATGCACATTATCAATAAATCCAGTCTTCCTTTAAACCATTTCTGAGCATGGAGTATCCCGCGAGGGTTTTGTGAGAGATATGGTATTTCTTATACCTGCCAGTCATGTTACCTGTGAGTAATTGTGTCTGCAGTTTCAATACCATATGAACTGTTCCTTCACCTCCTTGGGAAGTCTCGCACAACTTTTTTTTTGTGCATTTCTGCATCTCCTCAGAAACAAGGGCTTTCCAGGGATGGTGGCAAGTTCCACCAGCTGGGTTTGCTTTGGAAACTCTGGACACCCTATGTGATAAACAGCAAAATGCAAAGCCAACAGTTCAGTTTTTTTCTGTTCTCAGAAAAAGAGCTGGGGAGGAGACAAGCTGCTGTCTGAGGATTTGGGTTTTGCTGCAATGTATTCCCCTCTGACCTGTCATTCCTTTTTACAGGGAAACTTCTTTAACTGCCTTTTCACTTTCTGGCTGCCCTCAAAGCACGCAGGCGGCAGGAGGGACCCCCATTCCCTGCACAAGATATCTCCCCATGCTTCCCAGCACGGCGTAACCATGCAGGTTTTATCAGCTCTCTGGCTCTCCTTTGCCTTACAAGGAGTGCAATCTCTCTTGCACCTCTCTGCCCCTCTGACTTGACAGCTGACAGAGCACAGCCTCGCATTTCTCACCAGCTCCCAGCTCTTTCATTTGTCTTCATGGAGTTGGCTGCATCCCCCTTCCTGGGCACGTGCTCCCCCCTGCCCCATTCCGGCTGCTTACCTTGCGTCTGGCTCCCTCCTGCGTGCCGGCACTGCTCACTGTCATTTTCCAAACTCATTTTCGCACACGGTTTTGTCTGCTGCAAGTCATCCTGCTTTAAATCAATGGCCCTCTTCATCCTGCAAGAGCCAAGGAGCAGGGTGGGCTGTGTCAGCAGCTCATGCAATAGTGCCAGAGGAATGAAAGCTCATTTTCAGTGTACTGTGATAGATATAAATATGCATACATATGTTTTTATATACATCGGTATAGTAGAGAGGCAGGACAATCTTGGGGCTGGGGACTCTGGGGCTGTGGGTCTGATTCCCACCTGTGGCACAGCCTCCTTGTGTGATCATCAATACATTTTTTATTTCCTCGTGCCTCAGTTTCCCCACTATGGGCTGTGGGTAATGATAATGTGTTCCCTTGGTAATGAAGCCTCTGTGGTCAGTGAGCTTTTTGCAATGAGAACCTCCCTCCTGGCGCCGGCAGGGTCTGAGTGATGGGAATTTGAATTCTCCCGTGCTGTTGAGCCTGGCTGGAGGCAGTGATAAAGTGGGCACTTGCCTGGAGAAGCAGGCAGCTGGGGGCGCCAAACCAGGCAGGGAAAAGGCTTCTCTAGCGGCAAGGGGGAAGTCCCAAAGTTGTTTGGGCAGGAGAGCAAAGTGTCTCCCCCTCTTTCCCAGTGAAGCAAGACCCTGGAGCAAGCAGCTGGACATGTGAAAGGGGCCATGGGGGAGGTTTCCTCTTGATCTGGGACTCTGGACACTCTCAAAGGGAGGACATGAGGTTTGACTTCTTCACCAGTATCCTCTGATGCATTCCTCCCCTGGCCTTGGTTATAGTTGCATACATACATACATGTAAGATGCTTCTGGAAAATCCTGTTTTGAACCCCTCAAAGAAGCAACCTCCTCCTTTTGAAAGGTGTTTCCCAGTTATCCCATGACCATTTAACTGACAGTAACCTCTCAACTGGTTAAACCCCAGAGCCAGGAGCAGGAGTAGCCGGTGAGCAGTGCTCACCACTGCTGGCACCAGAGAAAGACATGTCAGGCTTTTGGATTTGGAGGAGAAATCTGCATCGCTAGCCTGTCTGCAGGAAGGCTGTAAGTGGCCTAAAGACCACAGCTGACACCGGACTAAGCTTCATGTCCTGATAGCAGCCTCACATCAGGCACTGTGCTCATTACCTGTAATGTTTAACAACACCCCCATGGGTGGCATATTCTGGGCCGCTGACCAGCACTAAATCATGGATGTTCTCAGCTCAGCAACATACCAGCCTTGTGAAGATGAAAGATCCCCTGGCTTTATTAATCAAACCTTATGGTGGTCATAAGTGCAAGTACTGCTCCCTAAACTTGGCATTACAGCCAGCCCACCCCATGTCCTACCCCAGCCAGTGCTCCTGCGAGCTTGAGAGTTCAACTTTCCTCTGTCTTCAGCTGTTTGGTGTTCCTTGTCCGTCCCTGGGCAGCTGAAAATCCATTTGTGCCTTGACATTCATGCTTGGGAGTCTGCTGAATGGCCGGGAGCCTACCCTGGTCCCTCAGATCTTCACTAATCCATACTAAGCATCTGTCTCAAGTCACTGGGACCAGGAGACCCCCAAACCCACCCAGCCTGGGGCTCTGCACTGCTGGCTTCTGATGGTAGACAGCCAGGAGACACGTACCACCACTGAAGGAAGGAGGAGAAGACATAAACCACTCTGTGACGAGAAGATCTACCTTGAAGGAGGCAGTTTTCTTGGTTCCCTCGTGTCATTTCCAACATAGTGCCACATTTGCCAAGTGCAGTGCCTCCAGTACAGCTAACATCTTTGGCCCAGTAGCAAAAAGAAGTGACAAGCAAAGCTGCTTTTTAATCCATGGAAATGTATCTTGGTTTCAAGCAGCAAAATCACAACGTTTCCCTATGCAAGCACTTTGAACTATCGGTCTTCATGGTGATACACCTCTGGGCTGCTCACTAGCAGAGCATTTCTGATGTATATTTGTATCCCGACAGTGCGCCTGTGCCTAAGGAAAGCTTAGGAGAGCAGTTAAGACAGCTCAGACCCGTGCTCCCATTTGGTCCCTCTTGCCCAATGTTTTCCTAAGTCTCTTGAGCATGATGGTGGCTGCTGCTCCATTTTGTGACCTGGCCTATGTGGGGCCCAGGAAAGCCTTAGTTTTCAGGAGCAGCTGCACTTCACCCAAATTCAGAGGCTTTGCAGGCAGTGAAGCTCTCAGGCTGGGTTTTTGCCTTCATGTTTTTCTTCATGCTCTCCTGGGATACAGACTCATTAGGCACCTGCTTTCTGCTCAGCAAATGGGTGGCTGGTGCTTCAGCACGGGCCAGACAGACAATGAAAACAGACTGAAAATACTGTTAGCAGCAGAGGTGCTGAGGAAGAGCAGACGAGCTGCAGACAAGAGGGCTGAGAGCTGGGGAATGCTTTATTGCTGTCCATTAAACAAAATATTTGTCTCTCTGGCGTAGCCAAACTGAAAAGCAACAGCACTGGGCAAGTGCACAAGGATTAAGCTGGATGGGGTGTTTCTCCATCCTCCCAAAAAATCACAGGGGGTTCATCCTCAGCGGGTGTGGGGAGCCCAGAGACGCAAAGCTGGCAGGACCCTCGCTGGGTGGAGCTGGCCCTTCACCGAGGTACGAGCCAATGGGTCCTTCTGTCCTTCCAGCCTGACACATGTCATCTGTCACACCTGCTTCAAACGGCAGGAGAGGCTCCACCGCTGCGGCCAGTGCAAGTTTGCCTACTACTGTGACCGGACCTGCCAGAGAGCGGCTTGGCTGAACCACAAAAATGAGTGCTCTGCCATCAAGAGACACGGCAAGGCACCCACTGAAAACATCAGGTAAGAGATGGCCTCAGGGGCTGAGCCAGCAGCCTGGGGATGGTGGAAGAGGACAGGGCATGCCTCTGGAGGGTGGTGAGGAAGAGCTGGGTGACCTGATTTGGACAGGGTGGAGGTGGGAGCTGGTTTGGGAAAGGCCAGGAGCATCCGTGAGCTGATGGGATCAGGACCTGGAGGAGCATCCAGGGTGCGAGGGGGTTGTGCTCCTTATTTTTTTTGGTGCTGGGCCCCAGAAACTCAACTGCAGCTGAACGTGGTGAGGCAAACCCACCCAGGGTTGTTTAGGAGGTGTGGGAAAGTGAGGAGTAGGTGGAAAAGTGGAAGAGGACATGGGCTTTTCCCCAGTTTGTCTGTGGGATACATTGGTTTGGATTCACATCCTGGCTCGGTCATAAGAAAATGAGAGGAATCCCCAAGGAAATGAGAGCTGTTGTGGAGGGCTGGGGACCTGGGGGTCTGCAGCATTTCTCCAGGTAAGAACATAGATGCCTGGGCAAAGCCCTGCATCTGTCTCCCTTTCCTTCAAAAGCCCATGGGTGGTGGATATCCATCAGCCATCCGATGCTGAGCCTGTTTCGGTCTGTCTGCACCCAGTTTCCCACCCATGAAATGAATTTTGATGGCCATTCAGTTCTTCTCCTTGCACTGGGCGGTGGTGCTAACACCTGGGGCTCTCTCCTGGCCAGGCTGGCTGCCCGCATCATGTGGAAGATAGAGAGGGAAGGCAGCGGGCTGGCAGAGGGCTGCCTGGTCTCCATCGATGACCTGCAGAACCATGTGGACAGCTTTGATGAGGAGGAGAAGAAGGAGCTCCGTGCTGATGTGGAGAGCTTCCTCGAGTTTTGGCCACCCCAGAGCCAGCAGTTCGGCATGCAGTACATCTCCCACATATTCGGAGTGGTACGTCGGAGGGGTGGGAGAGCAAATGGGGGGGCTGTTTTTAATGCCAGTGCCCTGGAGAAAGTCTCCAACTGGCCTGAGCTGAGGCTGCCCAAGTTCATCCCTCTCTTGCCCTTAAGAGGCCATAGCGGTTGGGATAGCTGAGACCAGTATTTGCTGCAGGCGGTTTGAATACTGCTGCATTCCCCATCTGCACCGACCCTGGGAAACTGAGGCACTGCAAGGACAAGGCCTGAAAACTTTTACCTGTCTAACCACGCAGGCAAGTGGCTTCATCAACCATAGGTGCTGCGCGGTCATCACAAGTCCCGCCGGGCCTCCCTCTGCACCTGTGAGAGCTGAGAAAATCTATTTAAATATAGTTTTAGTAAAAATACTTAGAATATATTTGAGTATAGCAGATGTGGTTTAGGATATACATTCATGTCTATTATATATAGTGTGCATTAGGTTTTTAGATGTATATTATGTCTTTTATATTTATATAAAATAAAAATAGGTAAAATATACTAAATATATTTAATAATATCCACTACTGGCTTGTTAACTAGAAATTTTTGTTCTCAGTGTAGCAGAGAGGGAAATTCCCCGAAGCCAGTTCAGCCCTTCAGCCTCCTGGGCTGCGCTAACCCCTCAGCTAGCAACACTGGCCAAGGGGCCGGGGTGAGCTGAGCTGGGACGCACGCTCTGCTCGCACCTCTGCCGACGGCTGGCGTGGCGGAGAAGTTGTCTGTGCCAGCCCTAGCACAGGGAGGGGCCACAGCATCCTTTCCTACCCACCTCACAAAGAAAATCCGGTCCACTGGGTGTGGGGAGACCTATGTACCAGTGACCGACATAACTTGCCCATGCAGAAATAAGGAAGTACAGATAAAGTGCAGAATCAGTTAAGAAAGGAAATAAAGCTATTAACAGAGTAAAATAATTAGCAGCTGAGTTAGTTACTTCCTTTGGTATATCCTATCGCATTTTCTCTTTGCAAATATTTCCTTTGTTTATGTTGGCAAGCAAAACTGTTCCCTTCATATGTGATAATACTGTACCATATAGAAAAAGTCTAATAATAAGTTCTTGGCATATATATTACCCAAAAGCAGTCATTCTGAAAATTGTTTGGGACTCATAAGAAACTATAGTAATTGGTTTTTGTAAGCTTTGTGGGCCACCCAGCAAACATGATCAAGTTGAATGCAGCTCTCAAGGTTAATTTCTAACTGATACCTGTTTTAATAAGTGTGAACTTTGCTTTCTGTCTAGGCTGTGCTTGAATTGCCTCAGATTCATTTTCCTGTGACCTTTTTCTGAATTATTTTCAGGAAGCAAATATAAGGAAACCAATGCATTGTCAAACCAAATTTACCTTAGACATCCCAAATGAATATTAACAGCAAATTTTCTGCAGCATTTACTCAGTTTTGCTCTGAGTTGGTCCAGCTGCATGAGTCCTGCATTGCTTCTCTTCTGATGTTTTATCCCAACTAAAGATGTTGTTCCCACCATTACTTTCTGCAGTAATCTTGTAGGCACTCCTTTCTCCTTAAAGTTTGGAGATGGGAAGATCTCTGTGGAGTCTCCTTCTCTGGAGATATTCAAAGCCCGCCTGGACGATGTCCTGTGCACCCTGCTCTGGGTGACCCTGCTTTAGCAGGGAGTTGGACTGGGTGATCTCCCGAGGTTTCTTCCAACCCCTGCCATTCTGTGATTCTGTGATCCCTTAATGCTTCTTCCTACCTATGTTTTGGGACTAGATCAGCTGCAACGGCTTTACCCTCAGTGACCAAAGAGGACTGCAGGCTGTTGGTGTGGGAATCTTCCCCAACCTCTGCCAGGCCAACCATGACTGCTGGCCCAACTGTACCGTCATCTTCAACAACGGCAAGTGAGTGGATATGTCTTTCCTCAGGCGCAGCAGGGATGCATCCTAACGGGCAACTCAGCAGACTCTGCTTACCCCCCACAGTGTCAGATCCCTGCCACAGAAAATCTATTTATCTTCGTTTCCTTCTCTAGTGCAGAAACAAAAAAAATAAGGATATTCTTTCTAAAGAGGAGCTGTTTTCTCTCTCATTCTTGTTATTTTAAAAAATATTGTCTGATGCACTAAACAAATACACAGGTTTGAGCCCAAATCCAGTGAGCCAGCAAAGATTTTTTCCCTGGTTTCTGTGAGTTTTGAAACCAGACTCAAACAAAGCAGATGAAGTACAAAGTAGCTGCCTAGATCACCCCTTATAGTGAGGCTTTATTTATAAATAGTTAAGGAACAATTACGGTTAACAAATTATTAAAGATTATACTGAGTCCACAGCCCAAGAGTTTCTCGTAACCAAAGCTTGCAATCAGCTGTGTATCACTATCTGCTGATGTGTTTATAACCATTCCTAACACAACCCTCATCTTTGTGAGAGTGTACCATCTCTATTAATCACTGATTAACTCTTCAGCAATGGGATCTTAATGACAATCGTGACTGTTATCTGCAAACCGGCTCACGTGCGAGTCCAGGATGCCCTAAGCCGCTGTGCATTCCCTGTTCCCACCCAAGTGCTGTAAGGAAACTTCTGCGGGACATGTGAGACGGAAAGAGGTGAAGTGGGGAGTGCAGAGCAGAGCTGGGAGTGGAGGCTGCGGCTCTCGGTGCTCGGGGCAGCCCGTGGAAGGGATACTCTGCCCTTTCCAGCCTCCTCCCAGGCCAGAACAGGTATAAACTGCTGCTGATCAGCAAGTTGCATCGTGTGCAAGACGTTAACTGTGGGAAACTGCTTGCCAAAAACTGCACAGCTCGAGTATTTCATCCAAATTTTCTGCTCGGTCTTAGGATTTTATAAACTTCCATGTTTACCAAAATTTAGTGCTATAGGTTAATCCCCCAGCCTCCCCTTCTTTAACTAACACATTGCTTGTGCGCTCCAGTTCTCGCTGCTGGTTTTACCTGCTAAAACTATGCTGGCGTTTATCAAGCAGCAGGTAAACAAGCAAAGAGAAACCAAAACTGCATTAGGATGGTTACCTTGGTGGGAAACAGAGTCTGATCCAAAGTCAGATTGGAGTCTGTGCTCCGATACCCAGTCGCCCCGGGTCAGATCCCTGGTGGGATGATGGAAAGCCTCTCCAACCAGCCTGGGAAGTGAAAGAGGTAACTAGCAGTGGTAGCAACCCTGAAGCCTGAGTTTCTGGGTGGGTAAGTAGAGGAATGGCATTTTGTTTGCCTGGCAGCTTGTTGAAGTTCCCACATGTATCCTGTTACTGACTTTAAACCTTGACCATCTGGTTATGTGGTACAATTGGCCAGGTAAATTATGAAGGTTTCTTGTCTTTCTGCGGAAACCTGGTGATAAGCCCCCATCGTGGGAACTGAGCTCTCTGTCTGAGCTCAGGGCACAATACTGGACTTGAGGACCCACTAAACTCATCACACAGAGCACAGTCCTTGTTGCTGATATCCCAGTCTGACTTCCATTTCAAGCTATGTTTTAGGGAGCGTGGCTACTGATGTCAGTGGAGACATTTCTGTGCGGGATAACTAACCCTATTGCACCTGCCAAATGTCAGAAGTGGGTTTTGCTCATCCCCTGGCTGAGACCGCTCCTAAAATCACAGTGCCAGGACAGCTCTCCCCCAAATCCCCCAAATGTTGTGGCTCAGCGATGGGCGATTCAGTTACAGCAGCTGCATAGCAAAAGCGAAGCTCTACATGCAGTGAGACATGAGCCAGGAGCTGGGAACCCCCTTGTCCCCGTCAGGACGATGTCCCGATGCTCTACACCCTGTACCCATTTTTTGTTGTTGTTGTGCTTGTACCTGTGTAAACTGCAGATGTTTGTTTTGTCTTTCAGTCATGAGGCTGTAAGATCAATGTTCCACACACAGATGAGGTGGGTCAGTCTTGAAAGCATCGTCCTTCCCCTTGCCCTGTACCCTTCATGCCCCGTGATTAATGGAAAAGCTGCAAACAGCCCCGAAGGGCTCCCTCTGGTTGAAGAAAATTTCACTTTCCCTGTTTTCTGAACTCCTCCCCCATGTAAAGCCCCACTAAACCCAAACCTCACTTAACTCTGCATTTTGTAGTAAATTAAAACGATAGTGGTAATACTGTGACTGTCTCCCGCACAGCGAATTCCCTCTCTGCCTTCCCACCCCCTCCTTGGCTTCCTCCCTGTCAGTATTTCCCCTCTCCACTTCTCATTTCTCCTCCCCTGACTATGGCAAGAGCATGAAAGTCAGAACAAGGTCTTGCTAATTTTGTACAGCCCAAAATAAAACCTTGCATATTAGGAGATGAGAAATGATTGCATTACTGACATACTAAATAGTTCACGTTTCTTCTGCAACAAACAGTGCCCGTTGAATGCGTTGACTACAGCAGCAATACCGTGAGATGTAGGTTTCATCCTTTTTTATCATAATACTCGATTAATGTTTTACCTTTTAATGATGCCACTGTTACCTGGTCCAGACTGATGGAATCACTAAAATGTATGCAAAAAAAAAAAAAAGAGAAGTTCTCTGCTTAGCTCACTGTGCTTGGTATATTATAGTCAGTCCTGTTAAAGGGACACTGTTGTCTTTGAACTTTAATTTCAAGCAAATACACAATTTCCTCAAATAAGATGAGAAATACTTCGGAAGTGCTCTTCTTCACCATTGACGCTTACCCGGTGCATTATAGATAGGACCATAAAAACGGGCAAATGGGTTTCATTTCTGATGAGAGGTGCTATTTTGGGGCAATTTGAGTTTCGAGCTATTGGGCACTCACTGTGCCTGTGCGTGCATCTTTCAAGGTCTTTGGTGCTTGGGGAAGACGCTGGGGAAAGAGCACGGGACAAGCTCAGTGGGGTGCTCTCAGCTGACAGTGTCTCTTTAACTATAGCATTTAAAATATGCCATGTGTTTCCAGGCTTATCCCAAATGCTATCAATCCCTTCCACACAAGGGATGGCTGCTTAAAATATACCTACGGTGCTTAGGCCATCAGGGGCATCATAAAAGTCAGGGGCTTGGTTTTGCTTCTCTGGTTGCATGACTCACTTTAACGAGGATCCCATTAAGCCTGAACAGGAATGTTTATATGTGTAAACTTTCTGAATGGATTTGCTCTTTTTCACACCCTTTCTCCTGAGTATCGGGTCGCACCTTTCTCTGGCTGGCATTTTCCCATGGTTGTGACATAACTAATAGCTGCCCTTCGTGACGATGGCATGTTTAGTGATAAATTTCGTATGAAATATGCTGTTGATATGATCTAACACCCAGAGAAGGTCAAGACCAGGCTCGGGGAGTAGTTTTCACAGCAGCTTTAGCACAGCTGAAAGGCTCAGAGCTGTGCCCTTGGTGCTGAGGGCTTGTAACGGGAATTACAAAGGAACTACAAGGGAATTGCAACCCCTTTGCAGAAGTATGATCACGCAGAAAAAGTCGTGTCAGAAAAAGTCATGTCCTCCCAAAAAACCTTATTTTTAATGCACCTGGTGGGACCCTTGGGTTCTACGCTAACTACGCCTTTAGTGAGACCTTCACTGGGTCCCATCTAAAGCCCCTCGTGCTCAGGTGGGAGCCAACAGGTCCTGCCGAGGTCCATCGCGTAGCAGGCGTGTGCATCAAACATGTTGTTGAGCTCAGCAGGAGGATGACCAAGGCACACGAGGGAGTCCCAGGACTGATCACAGAATCATAGAATCTTTTAGGTTGGAAAAGACCTTTAAGATCATCAAGTCCAACCATTAATGTTGTACTACACTGTAGTGCGACGGTACGGTGGGAGCTCAGATCATGGGACTGGCTTCATTTTGATAACCCGTGAGTACACCTAGCTGCAAAAGTATGTTTAACCAACTAACTGGTCTGAGCAGAGAGCCCAGGGTCACTGGTCTCAAGTGAATTATTTCTAACTGTGGGTAGAGTCACCAGTGGGTGGGGGAGGAGATGGGTACAGAAGCACCACCTTGCAACTGGTTTTTGATGGAGGTTTTCCCCACTCTGGCCAAATTCTTCAGCCGGTTGTGACTGTCCAGCCCCTGTGACTGAGAGATGGCCCAGGGTAACTTGAGGATTTAGCTTGTGGAGTGAAACAGCAAGGGAATAGTTTTGAGTGTCCATGTTATTTAAGCAGGGAAAGACATGAAAGGCAGGTGCAAAGATCTGTTTTTCCAAAAGGAAATCCCCAAAAGGATTTGCTGTGGATTTTGGTTTAGTAACAGAGACTGGTGATTTCCTTGTGTTTAATATTAGCAATGTCAGATCAAATGGGCTACAGAAAAAAAAGACCGTTCCCAGAGAATTGTTTCTAAGCATTTTTGTAGAGATGCATGAACGGGGTGAGGGCATCTCTTACCCAGCACCCAGAGGGAATGTGTCTTAGCTTTTTGGAGTGAAAATGATACTGAAAGCAGCACAGCTTGGGATCTGGGAGTCTAGCCAGGGATGTGCGGGTAGCATGCAAAGCAGTACTTAAAAAAAGACCCAAAGTCCAAACTCAGCATTTCTCAAGGCTTGTTGGGTATTTCTGATCTCAGGGTTTTCTTCTGGTGGGATCTCCTGCAACATAATAAAAGTTTATGTCTAGGTTCAGCCCTCATCCAGATAAAATAATGGAGCTGTCATCTGTTTATAGCTCAGACCCTTAGGTATCCCTGCCAGGGACTTGCAGAGGGGCAAGAGAAACTGGTGTGACTGTGTTTTTATTCTGTATTCAGTTAACCAGGCTGCTGTCCATCTCTGCATTGCCTCCTGGAAGAGCTAAAGCAACCTTAGGGCAAGGGCTCACCTCTGCAAGGCAGGGGCAGGTCGCAGGATTTGTCACTGATGCCTCTATGGCTGCACCTTTGCTTCTGCTGCTGCTCCAAGCCCACATCTCGTCTCCTTTGCACTCAGGATTGAGCTGCGGGCACTGAGCAAGATTTCTCCAGGGGACGAGCTGACTGTTTCCTATGTGGATTTCCTCAATGTGAGCGAGGAGCGGCGTAAGCAGCTGAAGAAGCAGTATTACTTCGACTGTGCCTGCGAGCACTGCAAGAAACATATCAAGGACGACCTGATGCTGGCGGTGAAGGAGGGGGAAGGCAAGGTATGGTTTGTCCTGCTGTGTCCAAACCCAGAGGTGGCTGCGCCTCTTCCACCAAAGGCATCTATGTCTCTGTGACCACGGCTCCTCAGCCTGGGAACACTGACAATATCAACGGAGTCCGATTTTGGCAGAAGCCTGACTAGTGCCAATGTAAAAAACAGGGCTGAGCCTTGAGTGAGCATAATACTCAAGCTGACCATGCCAGGCCAGTTTAATCCCTATTACGCAACATACATGCAGTTTTTAATTCTAAAAAGCCCACAAAAGTTGCCTTTGCAAAGGCCTGTCATGGGGAGTTTGTATCATCACTTGACATTTGCACATGGTTGCTGTGGGCAGACTAACTGAAGAGTTAACAGGTTTGACTGTTCATTTTAAGTAATCTGTGTTTTCCTTGGAGGTCTCACAAGTCATTGAGTGGGAGGGTGTCAGGCTGTGTCTTGCTGTTGGCAGTGGGATATGTTGCTTGGCCAGTGGCTCCAGTTTATGAGCATGCTGGTAGCTCTAAGAGTTTCTTTGTGGCTCCTCTGCCCAAGGATATAATTGCTCATGTTTTTTGTCCTCTGTGTTAGCTAAGGGGGTTTCTACTCCTGCAAGCTTTACAAAACATATGAGGGAAGGCAAGGCCGGGCAAGAATATTTTACTGTATTATCAAGTCATTGATCTGCACTGTTGGACAGTCATGTAATGAACCAGACAGCCCAGCTCAGGGGCTAATGTAGGTCAGGACTAAACAGCAAAGGTGGGATGAGGAACCTTTTAGACCAACCCTGTCATCAGGAGAGGCCCATGGAGCTGCACCTTCCTGGGAATGAGTGCACAACCCTCAGCCTCCAGCTCTGCAGTTACCAGCAAGCCAGGCTCAGTCCCATCACTCTTCTTTCATACAGGTGGTGGTCAGGAAAGGCTGGATGTCATAGAATCATAGAACGGTTTGGGTTGGAAGGGACCCCTAGAGGTCATCTAGTCCAACCCCCCTGCAGGGAGCAGGGACACCTTTAACCAGATCAGGTTGCTCACAGCCCCGTCCAACCTGGCCTTGAATGTTTCCAGGGATGAGGCCTCCACGACCTCTCTGGGCAACCTGTTCCAGTATTTGACCACCCTCATTGTAAAGAATTTCTTCCTTAGATCCAGTCTAAACCTACCCTGGTTTAGTTTAAAACCATCACCCCTTGTCCTGTCACAGCTGTCCCTACTAAAAGGATTTTCCCCACTTTTCCTATAGGCCCCCTTTAAGTACTGAAAGACTGCAATCAGGTCTCCCCACAGCCTCCTCTTCTCCAGGCTGAACAACCCCAACTCTCTCAGCCTGTCCTTATAGGAGAGGTGCCCCAGCCCTCATATCATTTTTGTAGCCCTCCTCTGGCCCTGCTCCAACAGTTCCATGTCCTTCTTGTGCTGAGGGCTCCAGAGCTGGATATTGCAGAGCAAAAGTCTCTTCTTGAGCAAGGCTTGGGGAAACAGGATCAAACTGATATCAGGGAGCTCCCATGGGAAGTAGGACACGGGACTAGAAGAAACCCTTCGCTGCTTGTTCCCCACTAGTGCAAAAGACCCTGCTATACAATCCTATTACTAAGCTAACAAGATTCACCATGAAGCTAATCCTGACTACTGGAGCTCCCTGGTTCTAACGTAAAACTGTCTCAGAGCTCAGTCCACCGATGCAGAAGCATTTTCATCTGACTTTTTCTGTAGAAGTATTCGCAAACTGCTTCTCCAGTGGATGCCATAAAAAAATCTCAGCTCTCATTCAACGCCTGCTATCAAGCCTTGACCGAGCAGCGAGATGCCCCATCCCCTTTTCATGAGCATTAGAGGTGCTCTGCAGCACATAGCGGGAAGACGTGCACTTGTGGGCAAATGTCCTCCCCAGTGTGTAGTGCTTGTATAGAAAAAGCCTGTAACCATGCAAGGTGCATGATTTCAGCTATTAAAAATACACTCCATCCACAGACAATAAGTATCCAGACTGACCTCACCCGCAGAGCACGTCTGAGCGCTGCCAGCTTTATTGCATTTTTTGAATTCAGGCTCGCTCGCCTGAGAGCAGCAACGCTCACAGCTGTGTGGAAAAAGCACTATGAATATATGGAGATTGACAGCTTACGTCCTCGACAGCCGCTTCGACCTCCAGTCCTTCGCCCCTTCCAAATAGTAGCGAAGTTCCCGTTGTTTATGCTGGCAACAGGGTTAGGGGTCTCGTAAATGCAAGAGAGGATTTTTATTAGACAAAGCCACTGTGGAAGTGCTCTTTAAAGCACCTATTCTGGGAGTCTTTACTCAGAGAGCATAGCAATGTGATTTGCACTGACGTTAACACTGAATGTGCTCTGCGCGCTAGGACACCCTGCATGCTGCTCAAACAGCTGTCCACATCTGATTAGCTATGATAACTTCAGTCTAATAATATAGAGTAATAAATCAGAACACATGCATACGTATCCATGAATAGACGGGGATTATATGGCTCTGAAAAGCTACTGGGTTTCCTTCTATACTAAACTTTCCAGAGCTTCTCCCAGCTAGCTGAATTTCACAGATTCTTCAAAAAACTTGTTGACCAGGTGTGAGAAAAAAACAACGGGACAGTCCCACAGTCCTGACTCCAAATCTTTGCATCCTTCATTGTAACGTTGGGTCTCTGCTTTTGATCTGCACCCAGAGTCCTTCCTGGCTGCGGGCACATGCATTGTGTGTCTCCAGACCAGGCTCTTCCTAAAAGATGCTGGAGTTAGGCAACTGTGGGCTGATTTCAGACTTCCCTTTTATGAAAAGGAAGGTTGTGATAGCTAGAATAGTTT